ACTGTGGCTGGTTAGAATGCAACCTGCAATGTAGATCTTATTAGCATACGCTTCAAATTGTGTCTTGAACTTCTCGTACTCATTATTAAGCTTATGCACCTTGGCTCGAGGCAAGTATTGCATTGAGCTCAACGGCACGCCGTTTGAGTTTGAACATTGGCCTGTCACTTTATCGAGCACAGGTTCATTCTTTCAAGATGCACAAGCATCATCTCGAGTGATGCAGTCGAAGTATGATGGAGAACTCCTTGATTTGATGTGGAACAGTTGAATGCCTCAAGGTAAAACAAACAGGCTGTCAAGAGATGCCACAACGAACAGATCCAGTGTAATCACCTCCACCAGCGATCTTTTCCACAGAGTGTGACTCTGCATAAAAATGCACTTGCATTCTTCTTGCATAACGATGTGGCCATCGGTGATGGTAATGAGGATCCTTGACATTGTAACCAGCAGCAGAACAACCAGCGAATCTACTACATTACTATGGAAAGTACGAATCGAGTAGTGCACAGTTGCCCCATACCGTACCGTGAAATATTGAATACCATTAAATTTTCTACATTCCGTCACGAGGTGGTTGCCTCGACATATTTCGAAAGGGCCGATGAAAAGCGCTTTTCCGAATGGCACTATTTGATATTCTGTGGTACGGTACAGGCCTGCATGAATCCACACAAACACAGCCAATAAATATATAGAAAAAGTTCTCACTTTATTTCGTTCATGCTTTTTCTTTTTCATGCCAAACGGCAAGGCAAGGCGATGTGAAGCGAGAGAACCTGCGCAATTACACTCGTAGCTCATGCAAACCTATGTACAAGTACAACCACAACTAAAGACAAATGACTCAAGAGTCACATTGTAAAGGTTACCCTCTTTGTCTTTCTCTTTCACAAGACTCTATCAACAGAGTTTCAAAAATAAAAGAGTAGCACAGTGCAAGAGGACGCCTTGTGTCTTCTAACTTAGCAGTAGCTGGCTCATTACAGCTCGCTAACTTCACCACACATTTAAACGGGGCTTTGACCGAAATAATGCAGAAGTGAATAGCAGTGTAAATAAATTGTTTTCATGCACAGAACAAACATTCAGGGAACTTGAGACAAACGTGAATACACACAATACATCGCCTGTGTTGTATCTTAAATGTATGCCGATACTTTCTAAAACATTGAGCGAGTGTTCTTTTGATGCACAATTCATTATTATGAAAAGGGTTAAAAAAAAAAGACATTAAAATGCCTTGTCTAAAACTTCCCTGCAGTGCAAGGAACATTTCTTATCTCTGTGTTAAATGTCTAAATATAAATGCGTTACTTTACTGCACATTTGAAATGCATAAGAACTTCAATATCAGTTTACAATTATTCAACTTGATTGGTTTTTGACTTAGCTTAAGTGATAACATGCGAGTGCCCATGGGCTGAAGATGTAGTATTCATGCAATATTCGTCTCTGTTGCCAACTTGATCAGCTTTGAACGATGTTCCGACACTTTGGAAATAAAATTAATATCTTGATTTAAAGAATTGATACCTTCAATCTCCCAGTTTAGTGTACACGAAAATCAAGCCAGTGAATGCATAACCCAATTTTTCAAATCGCACAGCTGTTTGGTACAAAGGATTGCCAAAATGCTCTACCTAGTTATTACTTTTAGATGCGTAAACACGACAATTTGCAAGGATCCTAAATTATTGTTTTAGCCACAACAGCCTTTCATGTCATAACAAATAATAGTTTTGTTAGTTTCTATTTTTGCCAGTTTTTTTTTTTCATAACCTTACAATTTTCCGAAAAGCTTTTTTCAGCATTGGTACACTCAATTTTTATCACTTTGGCTTGAAAACAGTGTTTATAGCGAGTGCACGAGATTCCAAGTATTATGTTGAGAATTTCGCCACGCCGCGGTGGTCTAGTGGCTAAGGTACTCGGCTGCTGACCCGCAGGTCGCGGGTTCGATTCCCGGCTGCGGCGGCTGCATCCCCGATGGAGGCGGAAATGTTGTAGGCCCGTGTACTCAGATTTGGGTGCACGTTAAAGAATCCCAGGTGGTCAAAATTTCCGGAGCCCTCCACTACGGCATCTGTCATAATCAAATGGTGGTTTTGGGACGTTAAACCCCACAAATTAATCAATCAATTTTGAGAATTTCTGGAAGGGGTAAAAAAAAAGTTTATATTCAGCCACTGAAATGAAAACTCGAAACTTCCGAACTTCTTTTTTTTTTTGCAAGAAAAGCAAATACCATAGGGCTACTCTTTGATATCTCAAGGACCAAATAACATTTAATTCAGCATACCCTAGGTAGCCAGTTTCTTATAAATGAAATAAAGAAAAAACTATGAACCACCTCCTCGAAGGGAACCCTGATGGGATGCGAAGCAGCAGTGGTGCGCACAGTGCTGACCCGGTTGAAACAGGCGTCGACGTTGGTGTTGAAAGAACAATTTGAAGCGAACTCGCTGTAGCCTTTACTCGAGTAAACGTTTGTTTGACACACAAACACGGGAGGTGGGACGCGTTGAAGACACTTGCGCTCGGCTCCCTTGGCCCGCGTTTCGTTGGTGTTACCCACGCGCCGTCTGTATTAGCGATCGCGATAGATGTTCTTGACTCGCACCTCGTCGGTGTCGCTGGCCTTCAACTGCCGACGCTTGCGTTTGGCTTCCCTGGCTCGCGCCTCGTCGGTGTTGATGTCGCCATTCGCGAATACGATCGGCTTCGCTAACCTTGGCAACAGCGACGACAGTCAAGAAAGGCAGCGGCACACTAGCAGGAAGCATGCCGCAACGGCGTCCCGCCCGTCGGCGCGATCGCGCGGCAAGCAGCGGCGCATTGTCCAAATTGTCAGCGCCGCAAGATTCTCAAGGCATGTGTAGCGCGCGCACTCGCCGGCTCGCCGCTTCTTCTCGCCGACAGATGGAGAGAGGTGGCCCGGGTATGATGATGCCCACGTGAAAAGTGGGCTGGAGCGCTGCGAGCTGTGGAGAGGGTGAAGCGAGAGAGCTGACATGCGGCGAGTGCGTGGCAGGCGAGGGAAAGAGAAACGTTACCACGCACTGCTAGGAGGGCATGAGCTCCTTGGCACAGCTCCAACACCTGCCACAAGGGGAGCGGTGCGGACGGAGGGACAGCGATACACAGGCTAGTCAAAGAGCTGCTTTGCATCTAAAGCTTGACCGAAGTTAAAAGAGTGAAAAATAGAAATATCTGCACACCATGTTTATGCAGACATACAAAAAAAATGTTTTTAAAGATTAAGCAGGAAAAACATGCACAGTTACTGGAAACCTGCTACCAAGGACAAGTTAGACAGTCATGGATGGCACCAGCTGACAATCTAAGCTATACAGACATTGCAATAAGGTCTTTGTGTCAGCACAATACAGATAAAATACAACAATAGCAGCAACTTTTCTTGCAACACTAAAAGAAAATTGACAATGACTTGCGGAAAGACTAGACAAAGGAGACTAAAAATGCGTTCCTTTGGCTGACATGAATCAAGCTTTTCTGTTTCTTTCTTTTCTAGTTTTTTTTTTCCCCGCTAGTGAAAAGGTTGTCTTCCACTGGATTTGGAGCAGACATGAATTTTTGGGGTTCGATATTCAGTCCTGCTACGCATCGCTGAACCGAAGAGCTCCGTAGCAGATCTCTTGGCTGCTTCAATGCGAAATTATGAACACAACAGAATGCATTACAAACATTGCTGTGCAAGATAAAGGATTTTTCTGGCTAATTACTGTGCTTCCACACAAATGACTAGCAGATTTCATTGCAACTGACGTGAGTGCACAACCACTAAACGATGCTGTTCAAACAGCCCAGACAAGAGGTACACAGTGGACCAGATCCGATTTTCAAACACAAGCTAGAAATTTGCATCTCTTCATTTCTGTTCACCATAACAGTGTATGTGCAAGGAGTAACATTGCCACAGGGAGGAGCTACTTATCAGTCGTAGCGAAAACACAGATCCAGGCCACGATGGGGTGACAGCACTCACAGCAACAAATACATTCAAGCATCACATAATTTTTTTTCTTGCTGCATAAGTGTGCATTTGTAATTGAGTGTACATTTGACAATGGTAAAACGTGCTAAGAAAAAGAGACAATGTGAAATGTTTAGAAAAAAGCACGATAAAACTCGCAGGCAACACACAGTCCCAAGCTAGCTAAAGACATCATGGGTTTTCATTTTTTTTTTACATCCTAAAGTTTTCGTTCTAAGGAATCACAAGAAAAAGTGTCGCTTCAGTTCATTTAGTCAGCACCCGATAGCTAAGGCATGATCGGATTTTTTTTTTTTTTTTGGGGGGGGTGGGGAAATCTTCATTCTCGGCAGGCGACTTGCATATGCATCCGTGCGACCCGGCCGAGACTTTGGCTTTTGCGCACTCAGTTTTGGGAGCACTTTCTTGACAAATACACTCAAACGTCATAACAAAGTCGCATATGCCACGAAAATACTTCGTTATATTCGAAAATTCGTTATAAACGATTATTTGTAGCACTGTATTTATAGCAAAGCTAGTGGTTGCTTACTTCATTACAACCAATAATTCGTTATATTTGAATTCGTTATATTGAGGTGTGAGTGTAACTATCACCAATACGTAACGCGAAGTGTATAAATGCTTCCTAGTGTTCCAAACACAAACCTCGCCTACAGGCAGTATCTGCAGCGTCGCATCCGCATTACGCGGTGTTGTACGAACGATAGCCACTCTGAAGAACGACGCTTCATGTACACAAGGCGTCTTCTAAAAACGCAAGCAGACAAACATGCTCTGCCTTTTCTTTTCAGCACCAAACATTCGGCTCGACAAAGAATAGAGCATTAGCAAAAAAAGGGCTCGTGAAAGGCAAAACTATGCACGCTCTGATCCAAGGTAAAAATGAAAAGACAGTCACGTTGCATGTAGGCGGGACATGGAACTGAAAAACGAAGCAAGGTGCCGGCAGGCGAGTTGCATTTAGAAGTGAGCCAGCAGACGAGGACCTAGAATGGGGCGTGTACGTTTGCGGCACTGCTGCTTTCTTGCCGCATGCGCTTGAGCGCTCGCAGCGCCCTCTTGGCGGCCGTGCACTTGGCGATGCGCTTGTTGCGACCAACGCCGACGAAACGGCCCTTGCCAAAGACCTCCACTCGGATCCGGACCTTGCCGTTCAGGGTCATCTCGGCGCGCCTGGAAAGGAATACCGTTCCTTTCAATGCTGGGAAAGAACTGCAGGGTAGACTATCATTAACCAAAACCTCAAGGATGCTTTATTTAAACCTCTGAGGCAATTTTCACACAAGACGTTTGTGCTAGTTGTGTCGACTAATCAGAATAAATAGATATAATTACAAAGTCTTTATCATTAATTCCTACAAAAAAAGCAAATAGAAGCATTATGGCATGATTCTTGCTACAATTGAGTATCAAGTGCCTTGGAATAATGTTGTGGAAAATTTGATGCATGTACAGACAATTATCGATAGGTCTCACCTGAAACCTTTAATGGAAGTTGGTTTACATTTTGAAAGATCGGAAAATATTTTGACTTGAATTGAAGAGAGTTATTTCGCACAAACCCAGCACAAACCCAGCACAAACCTAAACAAACGAGAAGTTGAAGTTTTGCAGCGATTCCTTTAAACGGATTTTCGCTTGACGAGATTTTACTGTATACCTAAATATTGTACGTAAAAAACAGCACAACGATCTTTTTAAAAGGACTGTTTCTGCATTTCACATTTATATGAACGGAAAAATAAGCTCTAAATTGAAGATTGATAATAATGCCTTCACAAGATCTTTCTCGGTTCGGCGCAACGACACAAAGTTCAGCCTCCTCGACTAAACAAACGAAGCACGAGCCAGTGCCCTACTTGCCAACCAACTAGCGTGAACCAACACTCTTCGTGGTACTCACTCGAATTTGGCAGTCTGAGGTTCCAGCTCTAAAAGTTCCCTGATTGGTGACTTTGGCACATGCGTGCTGAAGTACTCTGGAAGGAGAAGCGAAAAAAAAAAAAAGCATTTTCGTTGTGCTTTTATGCAGAAACAACTGCGTGTTTAGTAGGATATGCATGAAAGGAAGCGAGGTGAAGCATGCTTAAATACAAATGTCAAATACAGTAGACTCTCGCCAAATATGTCAAATACAATAGATGCCCATACCGATTGCTTGCTTTAGCGTTGTAGTAATTATACAGGCAATATCAAGTTTTGAAGGAGATACGTACTTGCACCCTTCACATGTTAAGAAATATCTGGGCTGAATTTCATCCTGATCTGGCTATCAGAAGTACCACAAACATGTCTAATCTCAAGAAATTGCCCGAAAATGGATCGAGGAAAAAACGCATTTTAGAGGTATAAGTCAAAGCTCATCTATGCGGCAAAGATAAGTTTTCCAAAATAATTTCTTCCATCATGAGAGCTTGGCAATCAGGGTTAATTTGAGCATGAAGCTTCATGTGAAATGCAATGGCAAGCTGCCATGTGACAATTTCCAGGGGACTCTAGACAATGAGCTCGTTCCAGCTTTTGATAGCTACCTTGTTCAAGTTTAATTACAATCTACTTTGAGATTAATTACAATCTACTTTGAGATTAATTACAATCTACTTTGAGATTAATTACAAACCTACTTTGAGTTTATTTACAATCTAGTTTTTTTTTTGTGAAAGTAGAGAACCGAAACTTGTCAAAGCAAATAGAAACAAACAATATGTAATTTGAAAAAAAAACTTGCACTTTTCAACTCTCACCTCTCCGCAATGTGCACCTAAGTTCAAGTACACGGACGTTCTTGGACTTCAGCCAATTTGCAATGCTGCCATCAGGGCGGGGGATCAAACCCATACCCTTGAGTTTGGCAGCACACCATCTTAGTTTAGAGTTGCCAGCTTGAACAGACTAGCGTAGCTCTCGGCAACTGACTGCAGCAGACGAGTTTGCGGATACCAGAAGTAGACATACCTATCTCCGGCTTCATCATGGCATAGTACACCTGCCAGACCGTGTCCAGGGACATGTTGGAGTCAAGGAAGATGGCGCCAGCCACCGATTCAAAGATGTCGCCGAGGGCCTTGGGCACTTCCACCTCCTCGGCCTCCTCGCACTCCTCTTCCTCCAAGTAGTACTCCTGCACGGAGAGAGGCTGGCCTGTAGGACGTGCAAACTTTTGGAAAGAAGTAGAGCGGCAAGTGGAGGCTAAGCCTAATAGCAGGGCACCAACATGGGCGAAAGGAACATACACAGAGACTGTTGGCAAGAGTAAGTGGCCATTCAAGACCACTTTTTCTTCAAAAGAGAGAGACAAGCAGGGAGGTTAATAGAGCACTGACAAGAAAATTATCATTGATTGTTTCTTCGCACTGCATAAAAGGCCAAGCCCTGGTGTCTAGAAAGTTTTTTGCTAAGAGCGAGTGCACGCTAAAAAAGTAATGACAGTGTGTTTTTATTAGTTAGTTTAGTTCTTATGGTACCATGATGTCATAACGTGGTCTGAGCTTCTTGTCAAGTGCTTCAGCAAAGTATTCGTGATTTTTACAGCGCCGCTCCCCGCCGGGACGCCTTTGGTGATGCACAAGTGGTCATTTTCAATGCTTTAGTGGAACACAAAGGCCATTTTGGAAGTTTTGGCATTTTCTGTCATCACAACTAGCCGCACTGCTGCATGAATTCACCAGATTGGCGCTGTAGCCTGATGTCACGTGAGTGTCGATGTCGGTAGGTTTGCCACTGAAAAATTGACTTTAATATCGAAATGAAGTACTTTATCAGCATTTGCTGAGCTTTACACTAGTCCAGAACAGTCTCTGTACGCAGGAGATTTGCATGGCAGAGATTTGCATGGCCTTTGTGAAAAAGCTGTCAGTACAACTCTCACCCGGTGGCACCCCAGATTTGCTACACTACATCGGGGAAGGGCAAAAGAAGAACAAAATAATGAAATAGAGAATGTGTGACACATGTGCATTGAACATGCGTGCCACTTCGTTCTGTAGAACTACTGTCCAAATGAAGTTCAGCAGGTGGCGCCACGCAACACTCTTAGTGACATCCCACAACATCCGTAGTCCCAAATCGGGCCATGTACCGCATTTACTCGCATAAAGAAAACACTTTTTTTTCTCTAAAAATCGGAGCAAAGTTGTGGAGTGCGTTTATTATGCGGGGTTAAATGTTATGAGAACCTTTATAGGAGAAGAAAAAAATGCGGTAATGCAAAGAAAAAAGGTTAAGTCGCTCAGCCTTTCACAATTTACATACATGTACATCGTTTGGAAACAGCTTCCTTGTTGCACTTAACTCATCTTCGGTGGTCTATGGCGCTATCTTCTGCAAGCTGCCCCCCCCTCCCCCCCGGCCCCCAGCACAGGCAATAAACTCTCTTCTCACAATCCTTAAACTGCAACAGTGGTATCTGCTTGTGATCTCGAGGGGCGCCCACAAACTGCACTCACCGGGGAACAGGAAGGATAGTTATAGCGCGAGAACAGAACGACCACAAAGAGACAAGAAGGACACGAGCGCTCATATCCTTCGTGTCCTTCTTGTCTCTGTGTCGTCATTCTGTCTTCCGCGCTATAACTATCGTCATGTCACACCAACTAGCCCAAGCTGCCACACTTCTAAGGGGAACAGGGAATGAAGGGACAGTTAAGAGTGAAGAAAAAATAAAGTATGCTAAAAAAGAAGGGGGGGGGGGGGGTCACAGGAAGCGACCGACTTTGGTTGGTTGGCTGGCGCAGGCAGTTTGGTGACCTTTGCTCTGCTGTGTGCTTATCTGCTGCAATGTCTCTACACTCCCATCCCTCCTGAACCCCCCCTTGGTGCACAGATAGGATGGGAGGGGATGGGGACATGCGGCAGGCACAGATGGAAAGAAAAGTAACAGGCACGCGCACGAGTCAATGGGCGAATGGGGGGGGGGGGGGGGAGGGAGCAAGCCAAGGTGGTTTAGGGGTGTCGGCAAAGTAATAAAAAAACAGAAGAGAGCCAACATGTGAGGAGGCGCCAGGTGTCGGTTAGCCAGAATAGGGGATGCGTTTATTACAGATAAAAAGAAAAGCAATAGGGCACGTGGCAACGGTCGAAGGGGAAAAGGGGAAGCGAGCGAGGTGGTTGAGGGGGGTTAGCAGAGTAATAAAAAAATTTGCAGATCCCACCAACAGTGGGAATCGATGATATGCGAAGCACAAATGAGAAAAGTTGATATGTCACTTTAAAATCAGCACAACAATACAAGGTGGAGGTATATAATGCCCTACATGACTTCCATGTCATGATTATCATGTTTGAATGTGCCGTTTACCTTCGTCATCTATTCACGTCACGTGATACCAAATTTAGTATATGTAGAGCTAGCGAAACGGCCGCGAGCACGCAATGAGCATGGTATGTTGTCATGTTCTTATATGAGACGCATGTCAGGATTTTCACGTTTGCACCAGTCATATACTTTCGCCATTGATTGACGTCACGTAACACCAAATTTTGTATATGTGGAGCAAGCAAAACGGTCGCGAGCGCATCATGAAGCGCCCAATATACTCCTATGTAGCACTAATGCACGCGCACGCTGGGCACAGCGACGCAACGTTAGCAAAACGCGAGCACTCTATAGTCTGACGCCAGGCGTGAAGCGCAGCCCGACAGCAACCGGCGCGAAATGCAACATGCTGCATTACACGACGATGTGTTACCCAGACACCACTGCGTCTCCCCCTTTTTGTGACGGAGGGACGCCGGGCGCACTGAAACGCACATGCGTCAAAGCAACGCAGCGTGGCGCGCGCCTGCGAGTATACATGGCAGGACCGGCGCTTAGCTTGGCAACGCCGGTTTGCCGTGACGAAATGAACGCCGGCGAGCCCGCACACCGCGCCACGTTGAAATGTATTGGAGCCTTGACTGTGGCATGTAGGCATGTTCTCACATGACACACCTTTCATGATTATCATGTTTGCACCAATCACTTACCTTCGTCATCCATTGACATCATGTAAGACCAAATTAAGCATATGTGAAGTTAGCGAAACGGACGCGAGCGCATCTTGAGTGTGGCATGTAGTCATGTTGTGGCATAACACGCATGTCGTGATTATCACGTTTGGATGTGTCATTTACCTATGTCATCTGATCGCATCATGTAATACTGAATTCGGTACATGTGAAGCTAGAAAAACGGCCGCGAGCGCTTCATGAGCGTGGCATGTAGTCATGTTGTTACATGACATGCAAGTCATGATTTTCATGTTAGGGTGTGTCGCATGTGTTTGCCATGCAATCATGTCATACCATACCAGTTTTGTAACATGCCATGTGAACGAAACCACCGCAAGAGCTGCAGGACCATGAAATGTAAATCATGACATTCATGACAAACGTATCAAGATTTTCATGTTATGACTAGTCAAACATGTTCTTCAAACAGTCATGTTATGTCATACCAAGTTTGGTATTGATACCATTATGAAAACGGCCTGGAGAGCTAAAAGTTGTAGGTGGATACATAGACAGACAGATAGATAGATAGACAGATAGATAGATAGACAGACAGACAGATAGATACACTCAATGTCGCCAAAGTTCGCTAAAAAATGCTTCGCATTTAAAAACGGAAAATATCCAACGGGTGAGGACGTGCCAGGTGTCGGCTAGCGGGCCTGCAGCGGATGAATGTAGAGATGCATTTATTACGTGAGGGAAGAGGGGTCCAAATTTTGGTGCCTGAAGTTGGCAGTGCGTTCATGATGCGAGTGCGTTCATTACGCGAGTAAATACGGTATTCTGCACACTGCCCAATTAGGTCACCATAAAGCCCAACCCAGCAAAATTTTGAGGCTTGTTTTTTGGGACAGATGATGTAATAATCGCAGCTCAACATTCCTAACTTTTGTACTTGCCTAATTGGTGGGCATCACATTCATTTTCGCATCATACATTTATGAGTTGTATTTCTTACTCCGCCATGTGCAGGGCTGGTCAAAAATTCCAAGGCCGTTATCTTATGCATTCCTATGGCAGCTTGGCCTGGGAAGTTTTGACACCTCTGTACAAGTACAATATTGTATTTCAAATGTACCCACTATTGTAATGAGAGAGAAAGAAATATAAAGGTTGACTGACTGATTGAGATTACACGCCATAAGTTTCCTGTAAGTTCGACAAATGTTTAATAACAATAGGCGAATAATACTAGGATAACCATGACAACATGTTTAAAGTCATGCAGTTGGTGCATTCTGCATTTCATGTACCTATCTTATCAACTAAGACAAAGACAAATCACAAAAAAATATTATATTAAGTTTATGGCCCCATACATTGTGTTGTAGTGTAGAGTGGATGGCAGCACAGCTGCAGAGGCTAAAAGAAGGAAAGTGCTTATACCCAACCACTTGCGCAAGAAAATAATCCCGCAATGATAACAACAAAGTCAGATACAAAACTTCTAACAGAAAGCTTTTTCTGTAGCTAAAAACCTTTGTTGTCAAAGGGCTTACCTCATGGTATCCAAGACCATTGTTCTGTCTCTTCATCTCAACAAACCTCTGGATGACTGCAAATAGGCCCGGTGACACATTCTTAAAATACCGATGAAAGTCGTATTTCACCGCCAGCGACGCAAAGAAGGTGTTGTTCACCAGCGCCGACCTCAAATCGGTCAACGTGCCGGGCGAGTGTCGCTGGGGGTCATCATAGAGGTGGCGGGTTATCAAGTAGTCCAACACTGCATCACCCAAGAATTCAAGCCGCTGATAACAGTCTGTGAGCCGATTGTAGTGATACGACGCGTGAGTGAAGGCCTGCAGCAGGTAGGCCCGGTCCCGAAATCGGTAATTGATGCGTGCCTCAAACGCATCGTAACCAGAGAGGAGCTCGTCTAACTGCATTCCCGCGTCGGGCACGACGAGGGGTGGCTCCAGCGTACCGTACAGCATGACGCCGAAGTTCGCGAGGGTCTCCGCGGTGCAGTTCTGTGGAAGCACGTCTAGCCCCAACCAGGACATGAAGAGGAGAGTCGCGTGAGGACCGCACGACACAAGGTAAGCACCGATAAGCGCTTCAACGCAGTCCGCAATACTCTTGTCGGGAATGCTGTGCTGCGTAAGAAGATTGTATGGCACGTAGGGTGCATTATCCAAGGCCTGTTCATCCGCAAGAACCTCGTCGAGGTTGCGGACCTTGTTGGACCGTTCGGCGAGGGTCTGCCGGATCTGGGCCTCATCCATCTGGGTGAGCCCGGCGAGAGCCGCAATGTTCCAGTGACCTGCCGGAAGGCCAGACTCTATAAGAGCCCGTTCCAGTCCTGGAGGCACGGTGTAGCCGGGAGGAAGCCAGTTGTCGCTGGGCTCAAACTTGGTTGCGACCATGAGGCCGCCGAGGCGGCGAGCTCGACCGAGTCGGTAGAGGTTGAGGTTGCTGATTTGCCGGCTCCGCAGGTGGGACAGCTTGCCCTCGTGCACGCTCGGGTATGTGCAATAAAGGTGTGCCGTCACGGCGTACTTGAGGAAAGAGTCGCCCACCGTTTCAAGACGTTCCAGGTTGATGCCATCATTGGCATTGGACATTGTCAGTGCCTGAAGCAGGATGCTGGGGCTCGGGCCCGCAGTGACTGTCGAGGTCTGGCCGCTCATCAAAGCGAACCTGTGATGCATCTCCGCTACCGCGTTCAACAGAGTCCCTGTCAGGTAGAAGCTCGCCAAACGGCAGCACACTGCCTTCCGGCGTCAGCAAAGCTCCTGCTCCGCCAGCAGCCGCTCCGCTGCCGCGAACCGCCAGTGTCAGAGGTTCATCTTTTTTCAAGGGCCGGTCGTCTTCGTACTCTGCAATGAGCTTCAGGGCCTCTGAGACCTTACGGAAAGACTGGTAAATGCCTTTCTGAGTCGCGAGACTAGCTTCTTCTGTGCTGCACCTCCAGACTTCTAGTTTCTTAATACACTCCAATCTGAGTGCTGCGACCTTCTCTTCGACAAATGGATCAACCTCCTGTTCATCCTCCACCTCATCCACGACGGTGTCGGCGGACTTGCTGCGCTGGTCCTTGCTGCAGTGAGACAGCCAGTCGAGCTGTTCTTCAGGCCTTTTCTCATCTTCCTTGTCCTCTGGCTTGTCGCTGATCTTGAGCAACTGCCCCGTTTCATCTTCGTTTCCGCCGGCCTCGGACATAGACTCGTTCCACTCGGGCCGCGAGTGGAAGTCGAGTTCAGGCTCATCTTCGTCTTCGTCAAAGCTGTCCCAGATGTCGTCGTCACGGCACGAGGCCAGGTCTAATGACAAGCCCTGCATATTGACGCTGCCTGGCGCCGAGATATAGCCCAACCCTGGCACTTCCAAGGAGACATATGAGCTGTCTTCCATGTCTGTGTCCCACTCAGAGTCCCAGCCCTCGGCTTCAAAGTTACTCGGAGATCCGTAGCGGATCCGCGGAACAGGTGTGGGCTCCCCCGGGAGTTTGGGCAGCGGTTTCCAGTCGAAGTTTGGACCTTTGGGTCCGCCAAGGTTCAGTGCGCTGACCTCGGCGTCAGCCAACTGGTCGTCGTCGGGAATGTGAACTTTGCTGGGATCGAAAGTGTCGATGACGAGCTCCTGGTCCTGAAATATAAACATGACACAAATCAAGACGCATACTTAGACAGAAGCGAGTTTGAAGCGAAATGTATTGAAAAAGCAACAAAACCAAGGCATCAAACTCGTGACAAGTTTGACTCCGCAGTGAACGCATAAAGAAAGCTAATGACAAGCTTAAAGTTTTTAAGCAAACCACGCATAGACAAATTATGTGCCGAGAATCCCGGCTGGCATAAAAAATTTGAAGGCAGCAGTATCACCAGTCTCTCATTCTGACTTCTTGTTTGACATTTTGGGGTAGTACAAGGGAAAGTTGAACGTAGTCTGTTGAACAGTCAATCTTATGCAAGGTGGCGTCATGAAACAAACCCCCTCCCTAAGCCCCCCACCTGCCCTGCCTTAAAAAAACAACAACCACTCGTCGTAATTACTCCCCCCCCCCCCCCTTCAAGACAAGCTGCCATCCTGAACTGGCCACTGGTCATCCTACCTGGACAAAATACCACACATACAATGCTTATTGGCTGACTGCACTGCCCCTCAAACATGATATATTAATTGTTGGGACTTGACGTCCTAAAAGCCTAGAAGTTAATGAGGCCAACTGTAGTGAAGAGCTCCGGAACTTTCAACCCCCAGGAGGTTGACCTTAAATCTAAGCACATGGGTCTCTAGCATTTTGCCTCCCGTTAAATGTGGCCATCGCACGATTCTCGGGTGAGCAGTCATCATCATCATCACCAGCCTAGCCTGACTACGTCTCCTGCAGGACAAAGGACTCTCCCATGTTTCGCCAGTCCACTCGGTCCTTTACTTGCTGCTGCCAATTTATACTGGCAAACTTCCTAATCTCATCTGTCCACCTAACCTTCTGTCTCCCCCTAACCCGCTTGCCTTCTACGGGAATCGAGTTAGTTACCTTTAATGACCAGCGGTTATCCTGTCTACGTGTTACATGCCCGGCCCATGTCCATTACCTCTTTTTGATTTCAACTATGATATCCTTGACCCCAGTTTGTTCCCTAATCCACTCTGCTCTCTTCTTGTCTCTCAAGGTTACACCTACCATTTTCCTTTCCATTGCTCGCTGCTTCATCCTCAATTTCAGCTGAACCCTCTTTGTAAGTCTCAAGGTTTCTGCTCCATAGCTAAGTACCGGCAAGATGCAGCTGTTATATACTTTCCTCTTGAGGGATAGTGGCAATCTACCTGTCATGATTTGAGAGTGCTTGCCAAATGTGCTCCATTCCATTCTTATTCTTCTACTTGAGGGTGAGCGGTAAAAGACCTTAAACAGTAGACCACCACTGCAAGTACGCCTCGGACAGTTGGGGAAGGTTAAGGGGCAAAGAAACTGCCTCCTTGCTCACCTGCTGGAACACAGGTGGTTGGTACGGCTGGGGCTGGCGCCACGTGTTGATCACCGGTGGCGGAGGCGAGAGGCAGACGGGCTGGATACCCGTGCGCTCCATCAGCTCGGCGACACGCTCTTCCTCTGCCTTGGCTGCCTCCTGAGCCTTTTGTAGAACTTCCGCCAGGGTCCAGCCAAAGTCCAGGGTTGGCCACTTGAAGCCCTCCGGAAGCTCCAGGCGTCCGACGCGCACCTCCCGTGCCACGGTCAGCCGCAGCTGCTCGGCCAGAAGCAGGGAGTTCATCCTACAGTGTGGCCCGACAATAAGCTTTTTTTCTTTGACCTTTGCTCGTGGTTCAACTTCGAGATATGGCTCTTTCACTGCCACGGGCATTTCTCATGCATGCCACCATTTCTAAATCATCCTTTTCAGGCTCAACGCTCTTTAAAGAAGCAAGACTTGGTGTATTTTTGCACACTGCTATCAATCATAGTGTTGCAAAAGTAGTGACTCTAACTTAGCAGCCTGTTCCAAAAAAAGGCTCTCTCGGGCATGTTCTAACCTTAGTCAACATCCATACTATTTCTTAAAGATCGTGGAAAATGTCCAGATTTTGTTTCGCAGTTGTCACAATTTTGATCACATTCTGTTTCAAGGGATATGTTTTCCGATTAGTCATTGGCCCTAATCACACAAAAAAAAGCTGCTCCTAGCCAGGGCTCTTTGTCAAGTTAGCAATATTAACGCGATAAAATGTAGTGAAATGGCCTGCATTTATTTTAACTGTTAGAAATCAATGCAAATAGATGTTGCTTTGGTACTGGTACATACACAGCCCAATATTTCCGAGTCGTCATCGCCATACTATAACTCTTGTCATCGCCTGAACATGTCTTGAACTCGCAAAGCCAAACTCAGTCTCCGAGGCTTTCAGAAACACTTGCCACGTTATCAGAGTCCAGTTTACAGTCTTCAGCAGTGCAACTACATACATAAACGTCTAAAAAAAATGGCTCTTTCTCTGCCACCTGAATTTCTGAAACGTCAACACTTTTCAATCACCATTTCAATGCTGAAAAATCTCCAAAGAAGCAAGACTTTGTGCTCTTTTTTTTTTCTTTAGGCTGCCATCTATTGCCCACTAGAGTTGAAAACTGAAGCCAAAGCCAAAGGCTGACAGGAACTCGTTCTTGGTGAGCCCGCGACAGGCAGGGTTGAGCGCAACTTGTCATTTGCGATACTAGTACAACCTCCAATAAAAAAGCCCAGTTCGGACCCGGGTGTTCGAGACGTGGGACGGGGCATTGGACAACCCACCTGTAGAGGATGCACGGTAGGCAAACGGCTTTGCGCCAAAGGGACGCAGGGAACGGAATGGATGGCGCACAATCGGGCACGAGGATCTGCTTTTGTTGCAGGCTCTCGCGCTTGGCCCGCTTTGTCTGCTCCGATGAGGTGGGCAGCGTCACCCCCTTGCGGTTCACGTATCGTGGCGTCAGCAAGTTGAGACGCGCCGACGTGTGGTCCACGTCCAGCAGGGGTTGATGACCCGTCTACGACCCGAATCTGGTACTTTTCCCTGTGCAAAGGGGCACAAGGCATATATGGAACAATCCCACAAGCTCATCGGAGCACAAGGCCTATTAAGTTTGGAAGTACTTTAGGTGACCTTCACAGCAAAGAGTTTTCTAGTTCCCAAGCACAAAGTCAGTGGTTCTCAGCCATGGATGTGTCGGGAACCCCTTGTTGACTGGTGGAAGGGATGGGGGACCCCTTGCAGTGAAGGGGACAGAAAGGGGGGGAGGCGGGGTACCTAGGTACACAACTGGAGCGTGAAACAGGCGCCTTTTATTGCTACCAAAACCACCAAACAAACATGCTGCACCACTTCAATTTAGATAATTCATCAATATGTGGCACAGTCACGCTTTAACAAAGTTTCATATGTAAAAAGAATATTACAAATGCAAAAAAAGCGGGTGAGTGTTTCGCGGATCATAGAAATGGCTTCGCGCACCCCTCATGGTCCACGGACTTCCATTTGAGAACCACTACACTAAGTCATAAAGGCATTCAACTCTATCATGAAGCTGCATCCAACACTGAAATAGCGCCATAGTATCCAATACCCACTATAAGCATCCATCCATCCATTGGCCCATTGTAGCAGCGAGACAATTTTTACGTTAGTGTTTCGCTATATACTCAAAATCAAGTAGTAAAATAGCATGAGGAGCAATGATGTTCAGAGACACGAGCCTCAATCTTTTGCTGTGGCTATACTTTGAACGTGTTGGTGCACTAACTTTATCAGGCAATCTGTTTAATGACAATCTTAATGCATCAGCATTAAGATATTAATGCATTGGCATTTCCGGTTTCAGACAAAAACATTATTCAAGATACTACAACAACAGAGGGGCACACCATCAGTGCACACCCAATTGAATTACCACAGGTGCTGTTCTGAGTTTCCAGATGACACATTAACGCTATCTTTTCAAGAGTGGTGCTGACAGTCAGCAATTGAAGGCTCAACCTCACAGTGGCTGCTGGTAATTAATTTAAGTATCAGTCCACAACCAACCAAGTCCACAAACTGTAGGAGATACAACTGCTGTCTTCAACAATGTTGCCTCGAATATGAAATTTTCAATCTTCGTGAACAGCCCCGCCATTGCAAAGATGTGAGTAAAACCTTGCCTGTAGTATGCGTCAAACGTATCGAAGCCCGCATCTGGAAAGTCGCTGAGCGGATTCAGGTCGTGGCAAATCTCTGCCACATAGAAGAACTGGGGCTTGTCCAAGTTACGGTACCAGGGTGTCACCTACGAGAGTTACGAGGAAAAACATTTCTCATTAGTAGCCGCGCAGTGTCGTAGGCTTAAGTCTTATTCACAAAATTCATCGATCATGAATCATCACCAGCAATCACCTCCCAACGACCTATGTTCACAGCAACTAAAGTGACTTGCTCGTCGCCCAAAAAGGTCTCAGAGTCGGTGTTGTTCACGTCCGATCCTACCACCAGCACCTTGCGAAACCAGCAAAATCATTTTCCGGCCCATCCAACTGGTTTAAAAGTTTCACAACTGGCAGTCGTACGAGTGAAAAATTGAGCAGCCAGTGAGTGACCCGAAATGGTTACTCTCTGATCAAAGCGATCATTTGTGACTATTTAAGAGTGGTCACACATTTGCTGCAAGACTCCAGTGTGAATGAGATTTAATACAAGATGCCCTCAGCACTAATGTTAAAGCGCAACAACACCCAAAGCTGATATGTGGTGTTTGACGTTTCAAAACCACCACATGATTATGAGAGACGCCATAGTGAAGGACTACAGAAATTTCAACCACCTGAGGTTCTTTAACATGCTCCCAAATCTGAGCACACTGGCCCACAGCATTTTTGCCTCCATCGAAAATTCAGCCACCGCAGTTAGGATTCGATCCCGCAACCTGCAGGTCAGCATCCGAATACCCTAGCCACAGGACCACCGCCGCGGGAAAACACCCAAAGCTGAAACACCCACAGCAGCCTGTATAACACCTTTCACTTACTGACAAGGCTGTCTTTTGGAGACTCTGAAGCGGTGCATGCGTGCTTTGTACTTCGAGTGGGAATACAGTTACTGTTGCAGTCATATACACACAACTACAAACAGCCAGTGCAGTGACTTTCAAGCTGCCACGAGTGTCCGAAAGCCTGGCATCAATAGGTGACCAGTAAAAGAGCAAGGGATTGTGGGACGCATCGTCTGCTACCGGCTTCCGGTTCGAAAAGAGTAGACGACGGCAAACCGCTTCGCCGCAAGCCTCAGATTGTTCAGGATTCGCGCGCGCGGTCGCCCATTCATCTTTGTTCTGATAAACCATGGTCGGTTGTTCAGCTGTTGGCTGCTCCAACTCGAACGTGCAAGGCAAATGCAGGTATCAATTCCCATGTAATGAAGACAGAAAAACGAGACGGGCGCGACTATGAAGAGAGCCACAGCGACAGGTAGCCTTTGAGTACAGAACGTTGATGCCGTAGTGTGCGAAAACAATTTTATCCCAAATACATGTGTATTCCACATTAAAAAAGCTTACTCATGAATTTGCTGCGAATATAATATTGAGAAATAAATGTTTGCTAGGCACTTGCGCGCCTAGCAAGAATATCATGGGAATGAGCAGGCGACATCTACCTGCCATACGAGATTAGCGCCGGCCATTGCACCCATATATATGACAAAAAACGCGAAATCTTCACTCAAGAGTAAGTTCACACGAAGTGCTGGACGAGTCCATTTGCGTTTATCTTGGTCAAACTGTGCGCCAAGACGGCACCCAAAGGAAGAAGTGCGTTAAACAAGCGCAGGGTTTCGAATATTCGGCGCCGTCTAGGTCTGACTGTATTGTTTATGTGCCGCCGTGCTGTGCAGCTTGACCAAGATCAGCGTTCGAATAAGCATCTGGCTTTGACTAAGAAATGCATCTTATAGCGCACTGAAAGCCAGAAAAAAAAAAATCTCAACGCGCTCAATAAGTGTTGCGCTTCATGCCGATCGACTGATGATGACGGCCGAAACAGCGATCCCGAAATGAACTTTTAGCACACTGCTACAGCCATCCCCATCCCCTGAGATAATTAAAATGGTTACTTTTTATCTGCAGTACCGTATCATACAAGGAAAACTGTCTTCCGTACCGACTGGTCTGCTAGCCAAATGA